AAGGCAGCAGCCCACTGCACAGAGCAACCTCTTACTATTTATTCTGGTTTCTGTAGTGCCAGAACTAATAATCCCTCCAGCAGTGCTGAGGGTCACAGGGCAGGAATGCCTCTGAGTCAGCCCAGGTCTGACAGAGCTTGTGCTGAGATGGAGTTAATAAAATCCTGATGAACCTAGGCTAACCTTCCAAGGTCAGGAGGCTTCATAGACTGATTCCTAATCCATCCCACAGTGTTCCCATTATCCTTTGATTATCCTGGATGTCTCTGTGCCACACACTCCCCAGAGATGGAGAGCAGATTTCAGAGTCACACTGTTCTCCTAAACAAGCACTCAAAACACACACTAGTGAAGGAAGTGTCTGATTTTAAAAACAGACCTTGGCTGTCCGGAATTGCCACCTCTGTTATCCCAGCACTGGCACAGCACTAGGAATGGCCAGCACAGAAGGGGCACTCAGAACTTCATGAGCAGGTGAGAAGGTCCTTCTGACCATCATTCCAAAGAAGGGATGTGTCACAGCCACATCTTGTCATGCCCCTCAGTGCATCAGACATGCCCTGACACAAATCTGTGCTGCTTCTGGCAATCAAGGGAAAAAAAATCTTCAGAAAGTTTGAGAGTCACTGCTCTAGTCTGAAAAAGACCCTTTCTGCAGTTCCCAGGAGTCATGTTGTCTAGACCTCTGGCCATTCATTCTGCTCTTCTCTGGATGCTTCCAACAAGCCCACAGAGGACTGCTCAGAGCAGAAATAGTACACCAGCCACAAAAATGCCAAGTAGAGTGGAAAAATTATTTTGCAGGCAGACTCCTGTCCATATATTCTAGCATAATATTCATGGCATAGAATTGTTGATTGATATCCATTTTCTGAGCTCTTGCAATTGCCCATCTGTTTTCTGCAGACCTGGTGTCTCACCAGTTATTCTACATTTTGATTTGCACAGCTGATTATTCCTGTTGAACTGCAATTTAGAACTTGTCCTTGATGAACTGCATCATATTTATTTCAGATCAGTTCTCCAATATATCATATTCATTTTGAATTCTAATCCTGTGCTCAGAGGGTTTACATCTTCTCCCTGGTTGGTGTCATCTGGAAATTTTGCATGCAGATTCTATCATCTAAATCATTAATTAAAATATTGAATATTTTCTGGCAATCCAGGGCAGAATCCCACTTGACAGATCCTTCTGGTTTGACTGTGAATCACTAGTAATTATTCTGAGAAGGGCTTTCCAGCCAACTGTGTACCCACCTTGTAGCCCATTGTGCCACCTTGTTTATAAGAAGCTGAAAAGACTTCCAAAAATCAAAATATATTTCTCCACTTACAGGAAAATTAGGCTTCACTGACAAGGTGCCTTCTGGGGAAAAAAAAAAAAAAAATCCATGCAAATTCATTTATCATATTATTATCTACAGGCTAATTATTAAAAAATTCAGTTGACTATTTGAGTCAAACTTTTTTCTCCAAGAATATAAGATAACTAGCTACTCCAGTGAGGGACAAGGAAGGACCCAGAAGAGTTTATAGGTAGGTGTAGTGTTTGTTCTCACACAGACTTTTTGAACCTAAACTGTCTTCCATATGTTCTCCAGTGTAGCTACTAATTGCTCAGAGATTGCTTCAGCTATTTCACCCTATGTTGAAGAGAGAATTTAATAAACTCCATCTTGTTTTAAAACATCCATTATCCTATCTCTTTAGTTTATAATCTGTTCTTTTCCTGCTCTATTTGGAATTCTTACCTTTCTAAAGGTCGCAGTTCTTTTCCTGACACTTGGTTACAGATCACTCTTTTAGGAAAAGAATTATACAGAAAATTACATTAACTACTCTATCCTCTCTGCACCATCAGATTATGAGTTTTTTAACTGACATTTTGTAATTCCCTATCAACTAGGAGACCAGGTCTTCCTCTTATTACTACTGAGAATGTAGTATGTTTCTTTGTTATCATACCCTTTATTAGTAGTACCTTGTTCTGTGAACTGGCCTACCTGATTTGACCCTTGCATTTTTCTCATCTTCTTTTACACTCATCTCCAGTAACATATTGAGTTTCAACCTTCAGTATGAGTCGTCAATTATCAGATCATATAAATTTGTCTCTTCTTACCGTTTTTTACTGGAATGCCTTTGATCTGGGCTTTTCTTACTCTTTATTTTGACTGGAAAAGCAAAAGTTATTTCCTTTAAAAATTGCCAGAATTTCTCAGGTTTGTATCCCAAGAAGCCTATCACTTCTATGAGCTCAATGCAATATATTTTCTTGCATACTATTGCTTTTATTCTCAAATTCTCTTTTCTCAGCTTCTGAAGAATGACAGGCTCACTCTTTCCTGACTGCTACCACTCAAATTGCATTTTACCATCATTGTCTCCACCATCTCTTTCCTAATCAAGCCTAGGAGCACTTTCCTTCCAGTGTCCTTTCTACATTCTGTAATCCTGAACCTATTATACTCACATGATCTACTGAATTTAGTATTTAGCACATAAAATGAAAATACTCTAAATGTTTGCTATTGTTTGGTAATACATAATAAAGCTGGGTGATCCCATCTCTTGGGAAAAGAACTGTCTGAATCAAATTGAATCTTTGGCATCAGTGCCAGTAAAATGAGCGTACAGACAGGATCAAAATGTCCCCTAGCCATAACTGCAAACCTTTCCAGGTAAAGCAAATAGCAAAGTGGAAAGGAAGTTTAGGAAATACTCTGACCATGGCTGCACAGAGGCACTGTCCTCCCAGGCTTCTTTTGCCAGCACTCTACTCAGCTGTAAATAGAAATTATTACTCTGGCTGTTGCAGCAATCACTTAGCACGTCTAGACTCAGTGTTGACACCACACAGTCTTCAGATATCAAAGCTTTTTTGTACAAATTAGCTCCCTTCTCATGTGGCCATGCCTTCTCTGCTGCTAGCAGATATTGTTCTCTCCTACAGCTAAACTGGCACTCCAACAAAACAAAAGGAGCACTACAGCAAGCATCAGAGGAGCGACCATATGCAGCTGCCATTGCATTCTTATTGCAACTCTTAAATTAGCATAACACAATCCAGTGAATTTCTCTGAGAAATACATACCTACCCACTGTTTATTATTGCTGAGTACATAATATAAATTAATAAGGAACAAGATCTCCAAAAAGTAAATATGGATATTCATTTGATACAAGTTGGAAGTTTTCTCCTCATACAAAGGAATTATAATTCAATCTGTTTCTTTTACAAATCTCCTGAATGTTTGGTGCCCCTTAATGTTTAACAATTCTTTAGTACAGCTGCCAAGATTTGACTATGTTTATTAACATCTTTACCTAAGGGCAATTCCAAAGGAATATAAGAATTTCTTACAGGAGACCAAGCAATCTTCATGCCATTAAGTCTCCAGAATAGGTCGGAATCTGCTGGGTTGCATCACTGTCTGACTGTTGTCCTGGGCTTCCAGGGACTCCAGTTTCATCTCTCTGAATTTTATGCAGCTCTGCTTGCCAGGTGTTTTCCATCCAGCAGCAGTCATGAGGTTACCAGCTTTTCGACACACCCCTGTCCAAGCACCCTGGTCACAGTGCCAGCTTCTGGGAGCTAAGGGGTAGCAGACACAGTGGCAGAAGAGTGTAAAACTGGACAGAAAATAATATAGCAATGCAAGGGTGTTAGAAGTAATAGGGTTTCCAGCGAAGGAGAGAGCCTGCTTAAGGAAGACAGCAGATATCCTCACAATTGGGAATTTTGGTGGAAAGTAAAAGAGTGACAAAAACTCCTAGGAAGAGCTGAGGACTGACAGAGAGCAGCAAGGACAAGAACAGCAGTGGGGAGTTTAGGAGTGTGCTTCTGGCTAGACAGAGGAAGGAGAGTCCTGTGGCTGTCCCAGATTTCACATCTCACATCAACACTGGAGCACATGTGGAATAGAGCTTCCTGCTTCCTCTCCTTCAGGACACGTCTCACTGACACGCACAGAAACCAGGCTGTAAATCAAAGCAAGGCAACAGAGACAGTTCAGAGCTGCACCACCACTCCAAACCACGGTGCTGGTGCAGACAGCTGGACACAGAATCACACTGCACTGCAGCCAAAACTCCTTCTAAAGGCAAATATTTTATATTAGAAAACTAAATGTCTTGCACTAGTTTTCACTGTAGCACTAATCCATTACCTAGACTTACTAAAACAAGAGCAATATACAGTTAAATTTCTATGCATTTTTTGCTGCATCTCAGCTGGCTGGCAGACATGGAAACAAAGCAGCATCATCTGCTCATCCTCTTTTCCTCCTCCCGCCTCTCAAATCAGAAACCATCCCATACAGGGAAAGCACTAAATGAACTCCAGCAGACTATACACTAGAGGGAGCTTTCCTCAGAAAGTCACACCACCGTGGCATTCTCTTTCTCATTACATTATTTTTAATTCATCTACAGAGAAATACACCGGACGGAGGTGAAACAGTTACCATTTAAACCCTCCAGTTCAGCCAGCTCAAGCACTGCAGCAGGTCAATGGTGTGGACGGGGGGAAATACAAAGGGAGGGTGCCTGGCAAGTTCTGCCCAGAGATGTGCTCCAGCAGACAAGATAAGGCTCAACACTGGCATGTTGCTGAGAAGCCTCCTGACATGAACCATTTCTATCCTGCAGCCTCACTAAACTCCTGTGTTGAGCACAAGAGCAACTTTACAGACTACATTTTATACTGACCCAAGAGACCACTCATGGTAAAGCTGTTAATTGACTACTTTAACGAGGAAAACTGAGATAAACTTTTCCCAAGGTTTGTGGCCATCCATTTCTGAAAGCAGAAACATGGATAACTGTGCTCCTCACTGCTAATACAAGTGTTGAACTGGTCTTCAAGTGAATTGTTTTAAAATACTATTTAAGGTGAAAGTATTACAAGATGCTAATGACAGTCAGGACCTATTCATTTTCTGAACTCCAGTAAATTGTCCCAAGAATATGAGTGGAACTAGAACAGAAATCCTTACCTGTGAAAGCATTTGTGGCCTGAAAACCAGCTTCCTGCATACTGCTCTTCCAGAGAAGCTTGAGATTCCCGTCTCAACCTGTCCTTATTGGAGACAACTGCTGAGCTTGTTGCTGTCAAGTCACTTCCATCTTAACTCGTCAGAGTCCATTTCTCTTTCCATTCCTGTATCTGGCAACATCCAGTTCCCACCTGTTCCCAGGTCTTTCGATGCGTAAGCAGAAGGGATCTGCACTGAAACTAAGGAGAAGTGTTGGACAGTCCCATCAACCAGCCAGCCAGAGGATTTGTGCCATGATGAATGTGAAAATGAAGCAAATCGCCTGTCAAGGCTTCCCTTCCCTTTTACAATTAAGTTCTAATCCTCTGTTCATCCAGCACCATTTTTCCAGGTCTCAGCCAATGATGATGTTCAATTGTCTCTCCTCTCTTGTGCTCCTCTTCCCTCAGGCACGCTCACTGAGAAATTAAGAAAGAAGAGATTATGTTTCCTGATGACCTGTAGCAACACTAAAATTAACAGACTCCAGGGAACAAAAACCCAAAATACATTATCAGGGATTGATTGTACACATTAAAGGAGATCTTCAGAAGGCAAATCTTGCGATTTTGCTGAGATGCAAAGTGTGACCACACAGCTCTTTGAAGTGCAAAGAGGAACAGTGCTGAGGGTGTCATATGCATCTCTGAGAACATGATATGATTTACATTTCAAAAGCCATATTTAGCAGAGATGGGGGCAGCAATACAATAACAAAATTGCAGTTAAAAGAGAAAAGGAAAAATACTCAAGGCTCTCAAGTCTAGTCTATTCAAAACCACAGTGAAACTATTAGCATTTCATATAACTGCTTCCCTCCTTTTCTGGAGCAGGAAAATAGAGAGCTGTCTGCCAACACTATATATGCCATTCTTACAGTCTTCTGCAGTTAAAAACCTCTGCATTTCTTCCTGTTGATTACCAGATTTTGTATGTCTTGCTGTCGATTATCTTTTAAAAATTGCAATTGTAACACAGATGACACAATTCAGATGCCTTCAGATATTCAGTGAGGTTAAAAACACCCATAGGCTACACAGCAGAAAGGTGGTCACATTTTACTTGATACTGTTATATAGCATGGATACTTACAGCTTTACTAAAAACTACAGCTTGTTCCAGGTCCAGCTTTTTAAAACTTCATTAAGACAATTACTTGAATGGGGTGAAAGACACAGCAGACAGGCACATGTTTAAGTAGAAGATTATTTTAGAAAACAAGGAAGAAAGAAAAGAAGACTTGGAGGAGAACCCACTCGCTCCCCAGACACCCTGTTCCTCACGTCATGATGCTCGGCTCACTATCTCCTGGCTCAGTGGCACAGGCAGGTTGAAAATGTATCTGTGATGATCTTATGACCTACTAATGGATTTTAGATGATGAGTCTAGCCAGGATTTGCAGTACTGGATTGGACCCAAGGTCAGAGTATGGCAGTCCCAGCAGCCGCTGCTTTGCAGAACAGTGCAAATGCCAGCCCAGGGAGCGGGTGGGAATAATGCACTGCTTGCTCCCCAGCCCCACATCATCTTTCACCCTGACCTGCAAGATCTAGAGATGAGCTTATACCTGAAGCACAAGTCTGAATATCCCAGAGAGTCCAAAACTGCAGAGAAGATTCTCATGCTCCTTGGGGTACAGCCCTCAAGGGCTTCATTAGGGACTCACCTTGGGTGAGGGATAAAAAGGATCTCTCCTCAAGTGTGCCACTGAAACCAAGTGAGCCTGACACCTGATGAATGGCATTTTCCTTGCAACACATTGAATGAAAGCTAGCTGCTAGCAAAGATTAATCTCAATGGTAGTGCTTTTTCCCCTTGATTTTGTAATGCCACTATTACTGAAGAACATATGTTTTTGTCTCAACACACAGCAGAGGAATGACTGATTAGTTACTTGTATTCAAATCTAGTCATTTGCATTCAGATCAAATAAGGTTACAGAACAGATTTTAAATGTTTTCCCCGTTTCTTACCCAAACATCTCAACCTAATAGAGAAGAAAGTGGAAATTAAGGGAGAAAGGAAAAAAAAAAAGTGTATTATCTTTTATCAGAAAATACTGCATAAAAAATTTTAGAATAGTTTTTAAAAAGCCATTATTCCTGAATATTATATAGGTCCTTGAGATACTTTTTCAACCTTTTGAAGAGCTCCATGCAACTAATAACAATTTCATATGAGGCTATTTTATTCTAAAATATATATAACTGAGCAAGTATAGATCTTTTGGGTCTTAACATTGTGCTAATTATTCTATAATGACTATAGGTGGATGCTGCACTCATTTCCCAAGCTTTTTCTCTACAGGCCTACATTTCCTCTATATTTATAAGAGGAGGTCCATATTTGCATTGACATTTTCTGTCTTCTAACTTTGGATTTTGGTTTATAAATCCAAAATGCTGATGCTTCTATTTTCAACATTTTCATTTCACATCTTAGAAATGCTCAAGAGATGTGCAGTAATGTGTTAGCACCCAGGGAAATTCTCCTATTTTTATTTCTATATATTAGATATAACAAACTTCTAATTCTTGAAAGAATAAAGTATTTTCACTTTGCTGAAAATTAATATTTTATTAACGGAATAATTATTCTCCACATCTTCAACAGTTCTGCTAAACTAGTTAAAAACCCAGTAGTGATGAAGAAGCGCTACAACACAGGCACTTTCAGTAACTACTGCTTCTTCAGATAGAAAGGTGTAATTTTAACAACATTACAAGACACTGAAACATTTCAAGAGTTTATTCAGACCTTAATATTTAAAGGTTTAAGTCCTTCCTTAAGGACTCATGTGAAAGTAGATGCTGGTATCTCTTGATTGCCCTAAATTAGTGTTTTCTATGACTGCAAAAGTGCTCTTCTCCTGTGCCAGATAACAAACTCAAGAGGTGACTGGCAGGATGGAAAGAACTGGAGCAGGATGTTGGGACAAGCCTGTGCAGTGCTCAGCACTTGCTGGGCCTTGTCACAATTCAAAATCAAGTTCTATACTTAAAAATCACTTCTCTTACAGCTATGTGGCCTATTTGTGATCCTTTTCATTAGGCAGACTTTAATTAGTCACATTTGCACAATTTCAGGTTTCTCAGATTACAAATGCATCCAGGTGAAGATGACAAAGCAGCCCAAATTATACCACAACAAATAAGGAAAACTGAAAATTCTACTTAAAACAGCATGTAGAGCTGCAACCTTTCTATTGTACTTCACACTATCCAGATATTTTCCACTAAAGCTGAGCTTGTTTAAAGGGTTATGTTTGTTTCCCAACACACTGGCATGTTTGCATGTATGGAAAGAGTCAGGACCTCTGCTGACACATTTCAGTATGGCTCAGCCAACTCCAGTGAAGCCATGTGTTTATCCTTTTATACCAGAGTGGTGCAGAAATGCTGAACCAACCTGCTTGAGGGCCCAAAAAGTGAAAACGTATATCCCAAAAAGAGAGAACAAATAATACTGATAGAACTATAATAAGGTGTGATCTTTGATGTATTTTTTTGCAACCTACGGAGGCCCCAGTGTGAACTGATTAGATGGCAAGAGAAAATGTGGACTAGAAAGAATAGAGATTTTCCTCTTTGATCCATCTGTTCCCTTCTTTCCAATAGCAACAAGAACTCTGCTTCCACTTCTGTTTTCATTCATCTACTCTGCAGTGTTACATGAGTCTCAGAAGCAAACCAGAGCAAACCATTGTGCTGTAAGTATATGTAGCTGTGCTTTAAGGATTTTCAGCTACTGTGCACTTACATAATAGAATATCTAGAATTAAAATCAAATCCATTTGTTTTTTATTCTCTCCATTCTCAGATTTGGTCCTAAGAAAGATGCCACCATCTGAACCTCACATAAATTGCAAACAGAAAGTATTTTTACTATTTAGCACCTTATGCGTCTTCCATGTTCCCATGGTGTATTTAGCTAGTAAACATGTTATTTCCCTTTTCTGAACATTCAAAGATGCAAAAAGGTCACAAGAAAAAAGAATCTGAGGGAGAAAAGTAAGCAAAGAGTATAATTAAATTCTGCATTAATATCTGCATTTTATGAAGTATTATGCAACCATCAGCCAGAACAAGACTGGAGGAACTTGTTCTGAAAGAAGAAGTGAAATATTGCTTTTTCCAAGACTGATATTTCTGTAACATCTTGAAAAACTCCAAAGCACTGGCTGACATGTAAATGCTGCAAATTGGGTTTTATTTTTGTTTGGAGAGGGGATTTTTCCATTTCCTTTCACTGTATAAAGTCTACTTTTCTGGCCCGTGCTTAGGCTCCCACACAGGCTTGAAGAACTCACTCAATGTGTTGCCAAAAGAGCTATGTCCATAGGAAGCATTTCCTGGTATAGCCTTTGGCATCCCTTGGGATGCTAAAGGACAGCATTTCACTAAGGTGTATAACACATTTCCTAACAGGAATAACTGTCCAGGAAGCCCACACATTCACATTTCTAAGAAACTTATTGAAAAACTTGTGAGCTGTTATTTAAATTAAATTAACCAAGGGAGGACTCATGCTTGGATTTCTTGCTCTCAGGTGAACAAGTGTAAAAGGGGAGAGAGCTGGAGCTACCTGCCCTGCTCTCGCTGTGGTCCCTGCAGAAGCTGGGTGTGAGAGCTGGGATGCTGCGGCACCGCCCCGCTCCATGGGTGAAAGGAGGAGAGAAGCACGGCGCGCTGGGCTGGCAGCGTGGCTCCAGCTCAACGGGAGGCTGAAGCACATCTCCAAGGAAAAAAGACTGAAACCCACACAAGTACTGAACTCTCAGCATGCTTAAACGCTTTGCTGAAGTAAGGCCTATACTTCCTATAAGGCAGTATAGACTTGGGTATTTATCTAAGAAGTTTCTGGGCAGAAAAATACTTCCAATATTTTTTTGTTGAACTGTGTTTTTCAAAATATCTTTTAAAGCTTGCAAAAGCCATTAAAATTATGCTCTTGTGCGCACAGCTAGCTCACGTCTCCAGATCTGTTTGGATTTACCAAGTTTTCCAGGCTTTGGTTCTACTTTTCACACAGATTCTAAACTAGATAAATTAATAGCAACCAATTACACCTAATCTTTTTCAGTGGTAAGGCCTGCATTTTACTGCATGATCCTCATTTGTTTTATTTACTTCTATCTATAATTTGTCTTCCTTCCAAGATAGTATTGCACCAGGGCTAAGTAAATCCTGCTTCCTAGGAAATACTCTGCTCCGTAACTCAAGACCACTTAAAAAACTCAAGGCAACTTTCACAGGAGACCATACACAAATCAAGCAGAAAACCAGATGTTTAAAATATGTTTATCTAAGCACATCTTCCTCTCTCTCACATATGCATACACACATATAATTTGTTTTTACTTTCATTCTTCAATATTTGCATAGGTCAGTTGGGACTTTTTAAACAGCTGCTGTATTT